CACTGGGGTGCCTGGCCAGTCTGGGTGAGGGGCTGAGGGCTGTTTTCAGGCTGGGGGTGACTGAAGCTCCCAACCGCTCCTTTTTTTCTTTTTCTTTTTTTATTCTGGGCCAGCTTTAGCTCTGGCTCCAGCTTGGAGGCCTCTGATGCTGAAAACAGGTATCTGGTTTGTTTGGGTTCTGTAATCGAAACACTGTATCAACTCCAGCTCTGAGATCCCGGCTGGCTGAAAGCAGGTTTCTGGGGTTTTGTTTAGCCTCTATATTTGTAACAATGTTTCAAACTGCAAGCTCAGAGGCCAGCAAGGCAGGCGGGGAACATTGGTTTCCTCCGTCACTGAAGCAAGCAAATCTCATGTTAGCTTCAAGCCGCCATCTTGGCTGGCAGTTAATTTGCATATCTCCCTGATTAGCCAATGGGAAGGGTAGCGGATGTATTGCCAATTACCAGGTTTCTCTTTTATTAGATAGGACTAGTAGCCCATTGAGAGATATTGCATGCAGTAGGCTGCCCACCACTTCCAAGGGAGCCAGTAGGAACCGCAGTGCGCCGCCAGGAGCCGTGCTGTTTCCGCGGGAGTTGGCCCCACTGTCTCTTCTCTGGGACTGCGGTCGGCCAGGGAGGCTGCAGGCCGGCCCCCCTGTCCCTATCCGTGTCTGCTCTGGCTCTGTGGGTGGGGGTGGGGGGCACCCGGGGCTCCCAGCCCCCTGTCTCTGTCTCCCTTTCGGCTCCAGGCTTCACCTGTACATGCAACCCCCTCCTGTCTGTTCATGACCTGTTACAGCGTCCTGGCCTAATTTGCATATTTCCTCTTTTTTTAATATATAGATGTAGTAGCTGTGCTATGGGGTCCACTGTGTTAACTTTAAATATGTTCAAATAGAAAGTTGAATAGTTCATGCATGCCTGCTCATTTTATTTTGAGAATCGGTTTTATGGTTTAGTTACCAGAGATGTGGGTGTGCCCAGTGTGCACTCTGTAGCATCGGTCAGGCTTAGGGAAGACTTGCCCCTGCCTCACGATTCTAGTATCTGCTGATTTTACAGGTGTCATACTTGTCACCACCTGCAGATGACTCAGCACAGGGTTTTTCTCTTGTACTTCTCTGGTTTATTCTATGCTTGGCTTGTGGTGGCAGATATATGGAAAGTACTTAAAATTTTTAATGCTCTCTGGCTGGTGTGGCTCAGTTGGTTGGGTGGCGTCCCGTGTGCATCAAAGGGTTGCTGGCTTGATCCCTGGTGGGGGGCATGCAGGAGGCAGCCAGTCTATGTTTCACGCTCATATTGATGTTTTTCTCTCTTCCTCACCTTCTCTCTAAAAACCTTTATAAAAATTGTTGGTGAATTTGTTTGGTGCTCCACTGGTATGCTATTTTAGGTTGTGTTGTCGGGGAAAGTGAAATAGACAAAGAGGTCTCAAGCCCTAGGGGGGAATAAAGAAAAATTATTGTAGAGATTTAGCATTCTCTCATGATTACCTATCATTCCCCCTCCTAATATTTTAATCTCTCTTTTTTAAAAATACATTTCTTTATTGATTTCAGAGAGGAAGGGAGGAGAGAGATATAGAAACATCAATGATGATAGAATCATTGATCAGCTGCCTCCTGCACATCCCCACTGGGGATCGAGCCCGCAGCCCAGGCATGTGCTCTTGGCCGGAATCAAACCTGGGACCCTTCAGTCCGCAGGCTGACGCTCTGTCCACTGAGCCAAGCTGGCTAGGGCTTTAATCTCTTTTATGCTGGAAAAATTCAGTTGAATTGGATTGTGTTGGGAAAAGTAAATTACATGGAACTTGAAAAAACATTTTAATATAAAAGTATTTCATGAAAGCAAGAAATACAAAGAAAATTTTGTAGCACAAATTGATTTCTACTATTAAATATGCTATTTAAATGAATTACATTGACTGCTTATGCTTAATTTTTAAATTCAATTGAGTTTATAACTGGTGTTTTAAAATAATGCTTAAGGGAGGAAATATTTTGTCTCAACTTCTCAGTAGGAAATTTGTTTCTCTTCTGATACTCTAACGTTTACTGAGCAATTGCTCTGTATAATTGAATAGCAGATGCCTGTCATGGTGGACTTAGGTAGGAATTGGAGGTCTCTATCCGTTCTGTCAGTCATTTTCTAACGTCGGCTTAGATGGAGGGTCTAAAATGCTAGGAAGCAATTAATTGAGTAAACAGTTCTACCAAAACATGATGGACAGTTTCACCAGTTCCTTTAGAGACGAACACTGTGGGAAGGACCCCTGGAGTCTAACTTAGAATTTGCTCCATTTCCCTCTCGCTGGCCCTTAACCCAGGGATGTGTTGGGCACCAAGAACCCATCTTGATGCAGTGCATGTAGAGCCAGTGAAACTTAATTTGACAGCTGGGTTGATTGTAACTCTCTTTCTACAGCGGTTTCCAACCTAGATGAGGAGAACAGATGGACAGTCCACTACACTGCTCCCTGGCACCAGCAAGAGAACGTGTTCCTTCCCACCACGAGGCCCCCCTGCGTGGAAGACCTGCACCGCCAAGCCAAGCTCAACCTCAAATCAGTGCTGAGGGGTAAGATCCCAGCTGCAAGCTTGTTCAATAGAATTGAAAGCATAAGTTTGATGTTATTTGTAAAAGACCTTTTTATAATGAACATAGAGTATGTGTGAGATGTCATAATACTCTCAACCTGTGTGCCTAATATGTTCTGGATTCTGTAGAAACCTGCCTCTCACAGATATGTCCTCAAAGAATCCACACCAGTTTATTTATTTTTTAAATATGTTTTTATTGACTTTAGGAAGAGGAAGGATACAGAAAAAGTGTCTTCCTATATGTAGTTTAAAATTCTCATTTTCACTTCAACTTAGTGTTGGTGGTAAGGGGTGTGACTGTGTGACGAAGAGGCCTTCCTAAAGGTGGTAAAGAAGGAAGTTCTTTAACAGAGCAAGGGAGTAACTTTTAAGATTTAGAAACTTTTTTAAAAACAGCAAGCCAATGTTCTTATTCTACTAGATGCTGGTTTACCAGTTTTCTCTTACCATGCAATTTTAGGACAAAATTATACTAAAAAAATTCTGTTGTTTATCTAAAATTTAATTTAACAGAATGTCCTGTATTTTATCTTTTTGTGAAAGATTTAAACCTGGGAGAAATACTGTCATTGATTCCAGGAAAACCCAGCATCAGGACCCCCTCTAATTTTTATGATAATTTTTTCATGTATATCGGTCATTTATTAATTCACTTGTTAATGTGCTGTTACCATGACTACTAATTACTAGGCAACATTCATTCAACACTTAAGTATATGCCAAGTACCAGTCTAAGCCCATTACAAGTATTATCTCATTTAATCCTCACAATAATTACTGTGCCAGTTTGAATATGAAAAAAAAAAATGGAGACACAAAGATTAGAAACTTTCCCACCATCTCAAAGTTAGTGGTAGAATTAGGACTTAAACTTGGACAGTCTCAGGCTGCAGGGCTCATATTCGATTCACTCGATTGCCTTGAACAACCATTTGTTAGAAATCTGTTATTCTGGTGGAAGCGAAGAATACAAAGTCAGGGTCTTGGCTCTCAAGGAACTTATACTTTTACTTACAGTGCAAATCACAATGTGAAAAATACTCGAGATGGGCCATACGGGAGCTAGAGAAGGCGGATAATTTCTGCTTAGAGTGAGAAGGAATAGCTATCAAAGGACTCACAGTAGATTTGGAATTCTGAACAGAACTATGTAGACCAGGGGTCCTCAAACTACGGCCCGCGGTCCACATGCAAATACAAATATTGTATTTGTTCCCGTTTTGTTTTTTTACTTCAAAATAAGATATGTGCAGTGTGCATAGGAATTTGTTCATAGTTTTTTGTTTTGTTTTGTTTTTAAATATATTTTATTGATTTTTTACAGAGAGGAAGGGAGAGAGATAGAGAGTTAGAAACATCGATGAGAGAGAAACATCGATCAGCTGCCTCCTGCACAACTCCTACTGGGGATGTGCTCGCAACCCAGGTACATGCCCTTGACTGGAATCGAACCTGGAACCTTTCAGTCCGCAGGCCGACACTCTATCCACTGAGCCAAACCGGTTTTGGCCATAGTTTTTTTTTTAAATATAGTCCGGCCCTCCAACGGTCTAAGGGACAGTGAACTGGCCCCCTGTTTAAAAAGTTTGAGGACCCTTGATGTAGACCATAGATCAGAGCCCTGTTTTGTTCCTTTAATCCTTTAGATTAAAGAAACTTAGATGATCTCCTATGTATCTTATTACTCTATCTATGTCTTACACTCTTGGCATTCAGCTGTCCAGAAATGGACATTATTGGCTTCCTTTTCTCATATACTTAGTGACTGCAAGCCTAAAGGAAAAAAATGGCATTAGTCAGGCTCCTCTGTGTGGCCTTGGAGTTGTACCTTGACTTTTGCCTTCCTTGGTGTTGGTTGCGTAATACACCTAAATCCAGCCACAGTTTCTTCTAGATCCTTTCTGTTCCTAGTCATTGTCTTTCATAAATTTTGACAAGGAGCCTGTCTACTTCTGGCTTACCTTCCTCCCAAATAATGAGTATGAGGATTAAATGGTACTGTGCCCAGGACCAGCCCCTGATGCAGGGCCATTGTTAAGTTCCTCTTCTCTGCCCACCTGCCTGTGGAGAATGCTTTCAGAAGGGCAAGTGTGAGTTGGAATATTCAGGCCCAGCTTTTTTTGAACACTCTCCAGGAAACTGTGCTTCCCTGCCTCTTCTGTGTATTTTCAAGTACCAGCTCAGAGCTTCTCTGTCCTTCCCTTAGAAAATTAAACATCTAGATTTTTCTTTTCTTTTTGACTATTCAGTAGATTCAAATGAAATGTCATCACCACTGATTTTGCTTATATGTGGATTTAATTTTGAAAAGATAAATGCTTTAATAATTGCTTTAATGCCCTAAAATGATTCATTGAAGGGATTTACCATTAATATAGTCAATAACTTTGGAAAATTGTTAGAGTTCAACTTTTTAAAAAAATCCTTACCAGAGGACAAACTTTTCTTAATGGAGAGAGAGAGAGAGAGAGAGAGAGAGAGAGAGAGAGAGAGAGAGAGAGAGAGAGAGAGAGAGAGAGAGAGAGAGAGAGAGAGAGAGAGAGAGAGAGAGAGAGAGAGAGAGGAGAGAGAGAGAAAGAGAGAAAGAGAAAAAGAAACATTGATGTGAAAGAGAAACAGTGATTGGTTGCCTCTCATACATGCCCCAAACAGGGATCGGACCCTCAATCCGGGTATGTAACCTGGCTGGAATCAAACCTGCAAAATTTTGGTGTGTGGGATGATGCTCCAACCAAGCTGAACTTTTAAAGTCTATATTTAAATACTCCTTAAGACGTTGTAGATAAATAATAACTTTAAGAACAGTGGTTGGCAAAGATGAAATAAGAAAGAGCATCTGAGTTCTGTTTTCTTCATTTATTTACTTTTAATCACATGTACAGGACTTCAGGTACCACTTTCCCATCACCAAGTTAGCAGCCTGAGATAAACAGAAAATGAGTGCAGAGTACTTACTGCCTCATTATCACTGAGGATTACAAAGAAAAAATACAGCCCCTGAATATATGATACTATTAAGGTATGATCGTACATAATAAAAGGCTAATATGCAAATAGACTGAACGGTGGAACAACCGAACAACCGGTCACTATGATGTGTGCTGACCACCAGGGGGCGTATGCGGGACATGGTGGGCGTTGGCCATGGTGGGATAGTGGAGCAGGTGAGCGGGGGCACCAGACCAAGGCAGGGCTCTGGTTGCTGTCATCGGGGTGAGCCTCTAGTGGTTACTGAAAATTTTTTGTTCCCACACGCCGCGATCCCGCCTGGAGCTCGTACCTGCTGTCGGCGTTGGCCTTGCTCACACCTTCTGTTGGCTCCAGAGCTGCCGCTCACACCTATTGCCAGCGCCGGCCCTGCTCGCACCTGCTGCCGGTGCCCGGCGCTAGTCCCATTCACTTGGTGCCATCAGCGGGTACGAGCTGCGGCTGCCAGCCCTGATTGCCCCTGAGGGCTTCTCCACCTCCCCCTGTTCCTGAGGGGTGATTGGGGCAGCAGCCACTGCTCCCACCCACTGATGGCATACCTGCTGCTCCATGCTGTCAGTGGATGTGAGCGGGGCTAGCACCGTCAGTGCATGGGAACAGCAGCGGCAGGAGTGAGGCTGCTGGCAGACAGGGGCCCAAGGCTGCAGCAGGAGGGGCCGGGCTGGGGTATGGAGGATGGGCCAAGACCCACCTCTGTGCCCGCCACAGCCTCACGGCCCACAGTTCCTTTCAAGGTGCATGAATTCGTGCACAGGGCCCCTAGTGTTATATAAAGTTATTAGTCTACCGTATTTGCCGGCGTATAAGACGACCCCCTAACATTTCCACTCAAAATACAGAGTTTGTTATATACTCGCCGTATAAGACTACCCCCTCTTCCGCACACCTTCCACACACCAAATAAAAGGTAAAACAATATCAGATTTGATTTTAACATTTTAATTTATATTCAAATGCTTATGACATGCAGGAAAACTGTCACAAGGCTGTATGTAATCAAACATATACATAAAACAGTGCAAGTTTATTACCGGTAAACATACCGGTAATTCACTAAAGAAAACACACTCTATAGACTGGTACCGTAGATGCTTCTCAGGAACACAGGCAAGCAGCCCACAACCTAGAGGGACTGTCAATGATAGAAGA